ATAAAACAATATGTGATAAAATAGTAAAGATGATGTATTTATATTCTAATTTCTAATCACCCTCACATTATCATTTCCAATATTTTCTAATCTCAAGTCAGGTTTGTCTGGCTGGGAACGCCTTGGGGTTCCCCCGGAGGAGCTGGAAGAAGTGGCTGGGGAGAGGGAGGTCTGGGCCTCCCTTCTGAAGCTGCTGCCCCCGCGACCCGACCCCGGATAGGCGGAAGAAAATGGATGGATGGATGGATGGAAGTCGGCTTCTGTTCTGATGATGATGATAATGATGAAGATGAGCACGCAGCAGAGCAGCAGCTGATGAGTTCAGCAGGCAGAAGCTCATTGTTTGGCAGGCAGATATTAAAGCAAAAACGGGTTTCATTAAGATTACAGTTTTCTGCAAAAAAAAGTTCTAAAAGTTACATTATCTTTACTTTTTATGATAATTCTCTACCGTGATATATACAGTTACCGTGAAGGGGTTCAAGTTATACAGTGATATGAATTTGATGTCATACCGCCCAGCCATATCTTGAATCATTAATGCTTGTTTGGTGCTGTGCTGTTGTTGCAGATTGCATGTTTGTTTGTGGAACTAAGCTCATTCAAATCTGTTTGAATTCCAGGAGCGACTTCCTCAGCTTACCATTCCAAGCTATTGAGTGCAGTTTAGCAGGCGTGAGGCCAAAAGGTACAAGCTGAGTAAATAACTGAGAATAAACTGATTTAATCCTCTTTGCCACACAGAGTGTTTATTGACCTGCTGCTGTTTCAGGAGACACGTGGTCCGAGGCAGCCCTGGATGACTTCGACAGACTGACGTACTGTGCTGACTGGAGACCCCTGCAGGCCAAACTCTGCAGTTACTTCCACTCTGAGGCCTCCTCCTGGCCCAGTGTCAAGCTCTACGACAACAGCAATGCAAAGGTAAGACCGATTCTTATCTGGATGTTTCTTTTTCAGCGTGCAGCTGCTGTTTTAAAATGAAAACCAAACTTGTCTGCCACAGACGGTGGACATTGGGGAGGAGCTGATACGACTGGGTCATGCTGTCAGCTTCCAGGAAGGGTTGAACGGAAGGCTGGAGGGGGACCATCTTGGCAGTCTGCAAAAAATGTTGGTGAGTCAGTGAAACACACTGAGACTGGATTTAAATATCAGCAGAGTTTTATTCAAAGCTGCTCAAAGAAGCTCTTATTAAAGTTTGTTTCTTCACCTTCATAGAGACACAGATGATGTCAGGCTGTAAGGATGTCATCAGATTAATGTCATCTTTTTAAAGATTTAAGTCTGACAAAATAACCTGAACTCAACCACCATTAACAGGCTTTAACTGTATTTATTTATCTGACACTGATGTGGCAGGTGAAGAAGCTTTAGGTATTTGCATTTATCTTGCACTTTTGTTGTGGCACAACCAATCAAACTGAAGGAACAAC